GAGGCAATTTTCTTCGCAATAACGCACGTTCAATAAATTTTGGCCAAGTGGGATAATTATTATTATTCCTAGGTGGAGAAAATATTTCTCAATGTTTTCAACATATACACATAATGTTGTGATGGCGGCTATATGTCAACATTCTAATCGTTCTATAATAACCGTGCAAAGTTTGCTTTAGATGTGTGTATTTGTTAAGAAAACCTGTACATGTTTATATTCCAACAAGTTTCCAAAGCAAACTTTGCTTACTCTACGCCGTACTTTGTTGGTAAAATCAACAAAGTCAACCTATAAAGTGCCACAGTATTTTGCTACACAGTCCATTTTGTCTAAGGATTTTATAAAAGATTGTACAAATTTATTGTAGTCTATCACGTGTCTGTGATTCGAAATTTGGAATTATAATTTGTATAAAATCTGCTATTTCTTTTAATGGATTATCGCTCTTTCAGCGCATTATCAAACTATTAAGTTAGAATTCTATCATGGATTTTTTTCTTGGACATAATTGTGACCACGTGAAATGAGTAATAAAGAAAATATCTTCTTATGTGCGAGCATTCTTTTTTTTATAATAACATGACTTTTTAAACGATGCAGACATGCAACTACCAACCGTAAATAAATATACAATGTACACAAAGCTTTAAAAAATGCAAAAGATAAAAAAAGATAAAAAGATAATCAATTATAGTGTCATATACCTTTTCATAACTGTGCCTACGTAATACAAAAATAATAACAGCGTTTGACCGTCGGACGCACGCCTGCTTTTAACATAAATTCCTATCCCTTGTAAAGGACTGGTCAGGCGAATTTTATGTGAGATATGATCGCAATGTTCATCTTCATGTCATCTCAAATCAATTTCGAAAATTTGAATGCCATTAAACAAATATAATCACTTATGGGGCCGCAGATAGACAGACTTCTCCGTTTAATACACTCCGATAGGCAGTTCCGCATAACACACAAGTTCGCATATTGTCTGGGTGGTCAGGCGCTTTTGTACAAAATAAATTGAATCTAATTCAGAATTTTTGACACGGCAGGAATGATTGACGTAAACTAGAAAACATGTCCATCGGCCGAAAAAATAGCCGCAAAACAGAAAGTTTAAAACAACCGTGAAATTATTTGTATAAGATGACGATGCCTGGCTGGTATACAGGTGTTTTGGGAAGGTGAGGCGAGTATTGACATTTCGTTTTCTGGAATAAGTTCATTTTAGAATGTACGATGAATACAACTAAATAAGACCAACACGATTTAATAGCAATAGTCAATTCGTGTTCCAATACAAATGTTAGCAAAACATATCTTTAGCAAATAAAGAATTTTAAAATAAAATAAAAATATAAAAATAATAATAATAAAAAATAATAATCAAGCAAAAACGAATAGCATAGAATTGTATAAGGGAAATTGTGCGATTAATGATTTTAGGAAATTGCATCACCCGTAATTTTGTGTCATACAGAGTATACAACATGATTTTAATGAACGCTGGCAGCTATTTTGTGACGCTGATTAAAATAAACAAATTGATTCCATGTAAACAATGAAAAGGGCATGATCTAATTTTAACTGCCGGAAAACCTCGCACATTTTAAACTAGCAAGAATGATTAAACATATAAATATTCGTCAAACAAATGGCACTTATTAAAATTTTATAAGTCACCTTTTCTACCAGTTTCAAACGTAGAAAAGGGCTAGTTTTTATATTTAGGCATGCTATAGGTCAAGTGTTAGCACACTCGGCACAATTCAACGAAAAATCTGAAGACTTTTATTTTTTTATTAAAAAATAACATGAATGTGGGCATACATTTAGTATAGGTAATTATTAAAAGTTTACAAAATTAAATTGGTCAAGACCGGCGCAGACTGATTAACAACGAGCCGATTTAAATATGTAACAAATCATTTGAAATACTGTTATCCTATTGGACAAAAATAACTTCAAACACTAATATATTTTTTAAAATTCAAATCATATTATAATATCATTCTTCCAAAAGCTAAATATTATTATGTTCATGTATTTGTATGATATTATATGGATTGCTTGAAATCTTTATAAAAAAACTACTTTAGTACAATCCAATATTGTGTATTCTGCTATCATTTGATATATAAGATCATTAGATTTATATTATAATTTTTTATTGAAAATATAGTGACTGGTCATTATTTTCGTTATATAGGTAACTATTTTTAAAGGGTATTTTTTACAAGAAAAGTTACGGAATATATATGACACATTGAATTTTTAGGGAGGACTGTTGCTAATGTTGTTTTAGCCCGACCCATTTGCACTATATGTCTTTGTGAATATTTGATTTTGTATTATTCATGTCACCTTACATGTTTTAATGTATAGAATAGTTGCAATAAAATATTATTAAATTAAAATAAACAATAATTGTGGTAAAAAGTAAAATGACTGTGTTTAAAAGGACTTTTCCATTTCAACATTATGTGCATATGAATAGCAAAGAAATCGAAACAATAGTTCTGTATTTTATGTCATTATTATTTTGGTCTAACACTTTAAGAACAATGGTTAAATTAGCTTAGAAGAAATTAACAATAATTAATCTTTATATGTGAAAATCGACTCGTTTTTTCTGCTAGGTATATATAAATTTGTTCGTATGATATGTTCATAGACACACCCAAAATGTGCATGAGCGTTGCAAACGTGAATTTCAGAGGAAACGGTATATTCTTTATATTTTTCTCTCCTTTATACGTTTTTATTTCCCCGAAATATTCAACTTTTTGGCAGCTAAGTGGCCCTATCTTCGTAAGCATATGTGAAACATTTTCATCAGTTTCGGCTTAATTAGACTCATTTGCGCCAAAATAATTGGTCCCGTGTGAAGATCAATTATTGGCATTGACTAAACATCCAACTCGTAATCGTTGTCATCTTCGGCACGAAAAGAGCGCAAAATTTGCCTTCGTAACACGTGCTTATGCATTCAACGTGCTTCATTTCTTCCACGAGGGAAAAGTAGATCCTATGGGATCTCGTTGTTGCAGGAATAAAGCTAGAATTACTCCGCGGATCATTAAATACCGCTGCGAAGATGAGAGAAATAATAATCACCGCCCGATAAGCCTTGTTCAGAACATCCCATTTCCTTATCAATTTTAATAGAGTATAAAATATTCAAATAAATTTGTATCGCGATAAGTGTCAGATCTTTAATTGTGCAGTTGACAAAATACATAACCTCACAGCTCGATGCGGTAGTGTTGTGGTAGAAACGTGGCGAATAATTAAATTTAGTAAAATAATTCATTTTCGATTTCTTTCATGTGCATCTCCTGTATTCACTGTCTGTTTATTCTTGTAATTGAATTATACGAACTTGAAAAGAGTGCGAACAATAATTTGCCTTATATAAAACGTATACGATCAAAACACTTTATTTTGTACATTAATGTAACAATCGAAATAATATACAATTCAATATCATTTTCAAACATTCAATTATTTGATACTACCTAAAACTTATAAAGTAAATTGATTTTAATAGTTGAATTTTGCTTGCGAAAATAATGTCTTTTTCTACATTATATTTTATGAAAGCGTGTGCATCCTAAAAATTATTTGATTAATGTAAATGGTTGACGCTGTTTTATAATTTATACAATGTATTATAGATGATAATCCTGGATATATTCTATTCGAAATTCTTGTACTGTTTGGTGTAGTTTGGAACCAATAACTTTTTTGCGAAATTTTAGATCATTCGCTCACTCCGTATTCTTCCCTTAATTAAGCGTACAAATGACCCAAAATGAAAACAAGATTTAAACGTTTAGATTTCCACAAAACACTGTTTTTAATATATTTTATATTTCTGTGTATTTTTTTATTATTTTCTTTTTGCGTATTTTCTACGTATGTAAGAATTTCAGATTTGATGTTTCAAGGCTTTTTGGACTTTATAAGTGTTCCATTAACATTGCGAGACGTTAGTTTTAAAATAATATTTTATTGATTTTTTATTTATGATTATTTGTGTATTGGGAATGACCCGTTATAAATGTACATGTATCGTATTCATGACAAAATAAATATTTTAATCTATATGCATAAATATTGACTTTAAATGAAAATATTGATAAGTAATACACTTGATACAAGTTTGTTGTAAATATTTTATCATGTTATACATATCATATAGTTTTTTATATCGCACATTAGAACAGCAAGAGAAAAGAGAAACAACAAAAAGAAGATGAAATAATAATAATAATAATAAAACGATGTATAAACGTCAGTAACTCGTTTTGTAATATACATGTATATAAAATATCTATAAAATAAATTGCTCTCTTCTTATTCTATGTACAAATTAAAGAAATAAAAGTTCAGTTCATATTGACACAATGTTAACAAAATGTAATTTACATCAACAATATGACATTTTAACAAAATACAATATTCTTTTCATAGGTATAGGTTTGCATATCAAATTTATCAACAGTGTTCAAGGTTGGTTTCATAACTTGACTATGAATAAAATAATTTTATATACAGTATAAAAATACATTTTTTATTAAATATTGGAATAATTTATTGCGAGAATCAAACTCCCGCTTAATTGCAAAGGGGCTCACTGACAGTTTCTAATTCAAAGTATTTTAATAACCTTTTTTTCCTCGTCTGGGTTTTGTAATTTTACAAGACTTTTCGAAAATTGAATTACGAACATGCTTTCATTACGCACGTAGGTCTATTATTTATGTTATGTGACACCATAAATTTCACTCTACCCATTTACCGTAGTATTAATGTAATTCTAAAAGCTGGCGTGAACTTTTCCTGCCCACCCGATAGAAAACTTCGAAAATTATTGAAATGAATAATTTTTCTTAACAAATAAAAGTAAGTGGGTACTCCAGGCCATATATTCATTGTGTGATTAGTACATTTTAAGGGTCACTTGAAATTCATAAACTTTGTTCCACAGGACGACCTCCGGCACTTTGGTTTATTTTCCAACTGTTTACTCCATTTAATTTATTCTATTGACACCTTTCGCGAAGTTTGACAATTAATTTGTACGCTCTTCAACGCTTTATTCTCCAATATCTTTTCGTTGAAGTATCCGCTTTTCGCTGATTTTATCAGTTGCCAATACACTATTGGCTGATCGTGCGGTAGGCGGAGTCTACGCCGATAGGAATTTCCATCAGAGTGAATTTGACGAAAAACTGCTTGTCTAAAATTCTGGTTGCGTATAATTCGTATATAAACACATTTTAGTCAGATAACAAACTTTTGAAGAGAATAAAAATAAAATGTTCTAGCTGTGTTAAGTGTAAAGTTCAAACCAAGCCAATGATCGGAAAAAGTGAAAAGGATAGTTTTGTGGGTAATTTTCTGGACATGCAACATAGCGGACTTACTCATCGGTACCCTGGCATGTCGCCGGGAATGTCCGGTATAACAAACTCATCATCTTTAAGCATGATGCCATCGCTATTCGGAGATAATAATTATTACCGGCATGCAGGCTACGGAAGTATGACCGTCGGCGGTATGGGGATGTACGCCGGAACTGCCGCTGACCAGTACTCAATGACCAGGCACACGCCGTATTCACCGTATGGACCACCTCACCACAGCACCAAGGACATGGTCAAACCTCCGTACAGTTACATAGCTCTGATTGCAATGGCTGTACAAAGCCAGCCGGATAAGAAAGTCACGTTAAACGGAATTTATCAATTCATCATGGACCGGTTTCCGTTTTACAGGGAAAATAAACAAGGCTGGCAGAATAGCATACGCCATAATTTATCTTTAAATGAATGTTTTATCAAAGTTCCTAGAGATGATAAAAAGCCAGGAAAAGGCTCGTACTGGACACTGCATCCAGACAGTTACAACATGTTCGACAACGGGAGCTATTTGCGTCGACGCCGGCGATTCAAACGACCAAATGCGGACAAAGAAGAAGCCGAAGATGGCGGCGAAACAAGAAAAAATAATGATTCTGATGCAGAAGATGATGGAAATACTGTTAAAACACCAAGCAAAAATGAAACAAAAATTCATGCTGCTGCTAAAAAGGATAATCAAACAAAGTCGGAAAATGATTTTAAAACATCTTACGGGAATAAGCAATATTTACTTGATAAAATATCGTCGGCTAAGATAGAACAAGGAGAGACTTCTAAATCGGATTGTCTATCAAGGATTCAGTCTAGTCCAAATGCATTACCCTTGCCGACGGAACCGAACGGCAGTGAGATGCCGGCATCTTCATTTTCTGTGGAAAATCTGATGACAAACCATCTAACAGATATAACCCCGACGAACTCATTTTTAAGTGGACGTAGTGCTACACATTTACTGTCACCCCCAATGTTACAATGTTACACGCGCCCGACGGATATGTATAGAAGTTCTTGTGTTTCTACAGCCGCCAGTAATTATGGTTACGCCAACAATTTGAGTGCTCAGACATTATTCCAATCTCCGAGCGGAATTTGTAGCCCAACTGGACGATCTCCCACCACAGGGAACACGTTATCTCCAAATGAAGAAAATTCCGGCGGTAGTGCCGGAAATTCTCCCCATGCAACGCCGGTGCCGGCACATGGAAATAGTCATTCAAATCTACCTCAAGGAAATGGACTTATTTCATCAATGTTCAGTGGCTCCCAAAGTGGACAGGCATATTCCCGTGGAAATTCGTGGTACATGCCTCCTTCAACAGACTTTAATCATCATGGCTCGGATTTTGCCGCGGCGTCTTCGCCCTTTGCTAATATGAGAGACATGTTTGAATCCCAGCGGATTCTCGGGAATCAAAGCCAGAGTTCATCAACAGCGGCAGCGGCATCCAGCTGCCAGCTTGCCGCTTTCAGAACAACTTTTAAAAACGCCGCACAGTATCCATGTGATTATACAAAGTTTTGATGTGTACATTTCTTAAAAAAAAAAGAATTCTACATGGAATATATTATCCTTAAATATTTTGAAGTAACTACACATTTTAGAAACGTGGAGAGAAAGAATTATAACTAAGTATTAAATATATATTACAAGAATTATTTATGTATAAATTGTGCGCTCGCGTGTGTGAACTTTGAGTATGATAATTAAATGTAGTGAAACATTTTAATTGGTTTTTGTTTACAATTATCAATTCTTTTTCTTCTTGGAATATTTGTGGTCGGGCATTGTTAAATGGGTGGTATTATAAAAATAATTTATCAGTTCATTTAAGGCAGATTAGAACTGCATGTTTGTAGAGATAATTTATACATGATAGTGCTGTAAGATTTTAATTTTATTTTATTTCCAAGAATATTTCATCGCGATATTTGTGCCGAACATTCTTGTTGCATGTGTTTTATGTAATTGAAAGTGTAAAAAGAAAAACCTGTTTTATTAGATATTTAAGAATTTTTACCTTATTTCTTTGAATATTCTTTCTTTACGTGTATAGAGATGTATTTGAAAGCTTTTCGTGTCTGCAATGCATTTTTATTCCAACTATATAAAGATAAATTGAACAAAAAAATAATATTATTTTTAACCTGAACTTTGTTAATGGCTTAATGCAAGTTATTTACATGTATATTTACTATGAATGTTTAAAATACAAGTAATAGAAAGTAACTTTAAACCTTATAAATGTTACAGAATGCAGTACCAAAGTATATTACGTTCTACAATAAATATGACTTAAATCTCACTTTTTTATTATACCTTTATTTTAATGTCCTTGTTGAATTTACCGGCAGCCTTTTTTATATTAAGCAAGAAAACAACAACACATCATTTGTATAACATATTTGTATATAAATAATATGTATACAGTTGACAAAATGCATGAAACAATGTTTCTTTTCATAATATTTGTTGTGTATTTACTTTAAGTGATCACAAATTTTGCAGAAAAGAAAAGGCGCCAACATATGTATTCATTTAGTAACATACAGTTGCATATTCTTAAAGAACGTATCAACATGTTCATGGTCACTTAACTTTTATTCCTTCCATTAATGACACAGAAAATCTTTTATTTTTAATGAGCGGAAAGAATCATAACAAAGATAGATAGATAGTTGCAAATATTGTTAGTAACATTTATTAGCTGGGAATACTTCATTTATTAATATTATATAATCAATGAGTACAAAAACGAGTTTTCACAATTTGATGAAAATAGTTACTGTTGATCATCTATGATTTATTGATATTTAAAATAATGTCTGTTTTAACTCATACAGCCGACCAAACAATTGTATATCTTATCGTTAATATCATGTTTATTTAATACATATATTCATACAATGTTTGGAAGTGAAATATCATCAAAAATCATGAATGATTTATTCATATGTATTCTTTATTAATAAAGAACAAAAACACCTTTTTCAAGAAACGGACATTGGATGAGAAGATTGTAGTCATGTAGGAATACTTGGGTTTTTTTGCATTAAAGGCCCATTTTACCACAGAAATGCTTTTATTTGTATTTCTCAAAAGGTATTAATTTTTTGTGTAATTTTATATTTTCCAAAATGTTATTCATTGGCCAATTATCTTAACCTTTGTTCTTCTGTTTCACTTTTGAAATGAGTACAGTTATAGTGATAAAACATTTTGCATGGAAGTCAAAATACTTCTTTGTTTACAGTTTGCTACTTCTATGACAAATGATTTCACATTTAACACTACTTTTTTCAGGTAACACTCATCTAGCATGCTCTAAAACCATTATTTAAACATTATAAAGTTAATATTTGCCTTTTCTCAAGACATAAAAAATATTCATTTCTGAAGAATAATGTGCCTTTAAAGAAATGGTTATAAAATATTATTTATTTTAGGTGCCAAAAATATACTTTTTATTTCAGTCTAGAGAAATTTTCAAATAATATAAGAGATCAAAAATACATGTACATGGTTATTTTTCAATAAGAGTTAGCATTTAACATGTACCATTCTAATTTTATTATCATGATTCGATCTGAGATGTGATATCAAATCTTAATTAATCATAAAAAAAATAAACTATGTAACTCAATTGTTATAATGAACTATGTAAAATTAAATAAATTCTCGCATTTTTACAGCAAATGTACTTGTTATAATCTGATTGAAAAATAGGTTTTAATACAGTTTCAGGCCTTAATAAATAACAAATTACCCCCATTGATAGTATTTACTTGACAGATTTTAAATTTCTATAAAAAAGATTTCAGTCAAAAGTGCGATTTTCGGGTCATATTTTGACGGTCTTATACGAATGTTTACTTTCGGGCTTATCATAAAAACTAACATGTGCGTCCGTCATCGAGTTTATTAAATATATGCAGGGTCGAATTGCCTGACTCATATTTCATGTCAGATATTATCGTGAAAACTGACATATGGTGAAATAATTGCATCCTCGCGAAAACTGGTGTAAATTTATATACAAATTAATGTGTTGTCAAATGTGATAAGTTAGGAAAATGTTGAAATGTGTGTGTGCTTTTTTTCTTTCATGAGAAAGATTTTAAAAATCTGTTTTTTACATTTGAATAGGTATCTGATTAATGTATTAAATCTTTCATTCATGTAAATCTTAATGTCAGAAAAAAGTGTGATGCAAATTAAAATCAAATAAAATTAAACTTAACATTTAATTTATTATTGACCCCATTTTTTGCTAGTTTAACAAGATGTCTATTTAACCTTAAGCCTGCATGTGACAGTTGAATCAACAGGTACACGTGCGGCTTGTGCAGACCAAAACCAGTCGGCACTTCCGAGCCGTCTGATCATGGTCTGCATTTTTCACGAATTAGTCAGTACATATTTTGATTTTTTACTTTAAAAGATTTAATGAATTTGTCAAGATATAAAGATGGACACGGCCAATAAAGATATTAATTAGGGTATGTGTTTTAAGGCGGCCATAAAGATAAACATTGACTAAATATTCATTCATATCTTTTTATAAAAGATTTTTAAAAAATCTTGTTACTTGGTGAATTTACAAAGCGGACGGTTTGTACCCGAAAGCAGTCGTCGCTAACATACAAATATAAGCAATTAGATATTTTGTTAACATATTTTTTATTCTATTTTCGTGTGTGACTCATATTCGTTAACAGATATTAACAGATATATTTGTGGCGAAACCCTGAAATAGCTGTAACAATGTTAATACCTTTCTGCACAGGTGCCTTTTTAGTTTAAAATATAGTGTTGTTGTTTTCTTTTTTTGAAAAATAAATATATTGCCATGTCATATAAACTTGTTTGCATCCTTTTTGTTAAATTCAATTTACATTACTGAAAGTTTCGAATCATTTGAAGGGGTTATTTTAGTAACCCAGTGATTACAAGCATAAATAATAGCGCAAATAAAAAATGAATGTTATAAATGTGTATGTTGTATTATCATATAAATATGTGCCACGAAGCAAATTAATTTAAGAAATTATTGAAACAGGTACATTCAGATTTAAAAATATCACAAATCCGGAAGCATTTCTTTTTGTATAACTAGCAATTATATATTAGCTGACAGGCAATCTGCATTTTTTAACTCCCACGAAATACTTTTGCACTTGTGATTTTACTTTATACAAATTTCTAATTTGCATTGTTTTCATGAGTTTTATTAGACCATAGTTAAGTTGTTTAATTGAAAGAAATTTAAACAAAGATATTCTAAAAATACTCCCTGATATGTATAAGATAACACCCGGTTATTAAAGCAGCATGACTTCAGATTCATGCAATTTTTCTTTAAAGATTTAAAAATGTATTAAAAAGTAAAATACAAAACTATTGTGAAGTGAACAAAGATATTATTTTACACATATCAAACGGGGCTTATAGTCAAAGTAAAATACCGAATATGAGTCAAAATATGCAAAAATAACTCTTACTGTGTTAGTAACGCAGTAGAAATATGGTCATAATTACACCAAATTCACTAATTAATTCCCCATATAGCATGTGAATCTTAAATCTTTTTACTTTTATTAAACTCTAAGAAGGTTTTTCCCAAGTTTGATTCTCTTGAAACAGTTTGGTTTATCTGGAGGCGTGCAGCTTTAAGATGAAAATTTTGTACGCAAATTATGAATTAATGTTCAGAAAAATTAGATTTTTACAAATGAATAAACAGATTCTAAGTTCATTTTTCTTGTGATAATGTACATTAAGATCTTTTAGAATGACGCCACCCATTGATTTAACATAGTTTGAAGGCGTCAATGGCGTCTTTATATTGGATCGCACGTGAGTTGCCATAATGTATTATGATATTAAACAGAACAACGTTATGGTTATATTACGTGCAAAAACAAAATACATCATGTAATAAAAAAACGAGTAAAAATTAAACAACAACAACAACATGAATATATAATATTTCGTTGAAAACTTAGATGTGAAGTACATCTTTCAGATGACGTCATCCATTGACGCAACACAGAGCAACGGATCACTATGTCGCCATATATTAATAATTTTAATATGTAATATATAACATAACAATTAAAATCTGTTTAATAAGTTATTTATAGTTCCTTATCATCATTACGATGTCACGTGATAAGCACTCTCATAAGCTAATTATTAGATGCGAGAGGAATAGATAATTTATGTTTACTTGTACAGATTACTGATCTTTATACAATTAAAAATAACATTAAGTATATACAAAGATAATAATCTACAGATTGAGGCACGTGTTTCGTTCTTTAACATACAATATAGATAGTTAGTGAATTATCATAAGATACAATATAGATAGTTATTGAATTATCATAAGATACAATATAGATAACGAATTATCATAAAATGTGATGTATCTATAATATCTGAATATATATAATGTAATAACAACAAATATAGAAATATACTGGATCATGACAATGAGATATCATTTATATCAACCACTTTAAGGTCCATTATGCCCCAGAAATTCTTTTATTTTTGTTTCTCAAAAGGCTTTTTAATTTTGGTGTACTTTTATAGTATCCAAATAATTACTCATTGGCCAATTACTTGAACCATATTTTTCATCTGTTGTTTTTGGCAATAAAGACAGTTATCTTGAAATAGCATTTTGTATAAAAGTCAAAATACTGCTTTACTGTTTACATTTTGCAACATTTATGACAACTTATTTCACATGTATCGCTACATTCTTCAGGTAACAAGTATCGAACATATTCCAAAACCATTATTTAACATTATAAAATTCATGTTTTGCCTTTCTAAAGAAGTAAACATTTATTTGTTTCTGGGGCATAATGTGCTTTACATAACATAGTTTTTTTTCAACATTAAGAAATACAATTAAAGTAAAAAAAAAATTATATTTATAATTAATATGATTTTGGTAATTGGCCAATGTCAGAGTAAATGTTTAGAAAGAACAACAAGACACTCGTATAAAAAGCTTTTGAAAAATAAAAATGAAGCCTTTTCTGGGCATAATGGGCCTCTTTTAGTGCTATCCGTTATAGGAACTGCATACATTGTTACATTATAGCCATTCCAACAGGGTGCATCATATCAACTATTATAGGAACTGCATACATTGTTACATTATAGCCATTCCAACAGGGTGCATCATATCAACTAACACAGGTCACTCACATATCGTTTTGTTTTTTTTAGGAAAACACCCTGGTGTCCGTTTATACTCGTCAGAACCATTTTAAAAGAGATACAAGA